CCCCCTTTATTCTCCCCTCACTGCTGGAGCTGAGACATCTCTTTGCATCTTATCCTGCCCTCAGACTGGGATTTACGTTTTCAGCTCCCCTGATTCTCAGGTCTTCAGACTAAGACCAAAATACACCCGAACTTCACAGCATTTTCAGCTTGAGATAGCAGATCGTAGGACTGCTCAGCCTCCATAATTGTGTGAGCCAATAATTAATCAATTAGCAGTAATTAATGTCTCATAATAAATCAATAAATTAATCAATATCTCCTATTTGTCATAACAAATACCTCATAATTTAAAAATTAATTAATATCTCCTATTGGCCCTGAAATTAATTAATATCTCCTATTGGCCCTGTTTCTCTAGAAAACCCTAATACACTAGCTTTCTTCTTCCTCATTTTTCTAGATATTGTGAGTTCTCAAAAAATTCTATTTGCCTAAAAACTCATTATTAAGTCATTTACAGTCCTCTGCTTTTGTAATTATAGTTTCATCACTTTTATATTTTTTATTTTCCAGTAGCAGCCTCTCACCTTCTAACTTTTCTAAAAATATCTTATTATTTCAAAGGAATAATTTTGTGCACGTAACACTTTACTATTAATAAAGCTCCGTGAAGCAGACACAGCAGGTCCTATTTATACCCCATTTTCCAGATGAGGCAGGTAAAAGTCAGAGTCTACGTGTTCATGAGCATATAACTGGGAAGACCAGAACTGCCAACAGAACACTAGTTCTTTGATTACCTATTCCAGTGGTGGTTTTCTTTCCTGTATTACTGTAATAATCTGAATAATAGCTTTCTACATTTTTGGTAAAATTTCTAGTCATCCTACAATGGTATTTTTTAAAAGCCCTTGTATTTTGGTATGCAACCATGCTGTCATATCCATGTGGTTGACTGTCCCTAATGTGAAGACAACCTTAGTTTCTGTGGGATATGGGGCAGTGCCCCTCCATTGTTAATAGGTGGTAGAAAGAGGTATGAATTTTTTCACTTCAGGGAGATGACTCATCTATTCAGAATAAAAAGACAGAAAATGTTATAAATATTTTATATTTGATCTCTTGTAAAATTGATGGCTCCTGGTCAAAAAAAAAAATCTTCTATAAATTCTGAAGACACAAAAATCCTTAAGGTTGGAAGGCACCTCATAATGATTCTAGACATATGAGAACTAAATTCTGTTATATATGTGTCGCTCTACTTTCCTAGCAGCTTCTTAACATCCGAGCACCATCGGAAGCCAGAGAGCTTGCTGGCTGCAAATTGCTGCATCAGCCTACAGGATTCTCCGACATGTCCCTGCATCACAGGAACAGTGAAAATGAGCCCAGTCTTCTGGCCTTGAGGCAGCCAAAACTGTATTAGCCTGTTTGGCACCAAGAGCTCATTACTATTAATAGTAAGCTGGCTTGATTCACTCCAACTTTCCATTTTACTAATATCACTCAGTGTTGAGTGTGCTTCCTCACTTACATATTTTGAAAAATATCTTTCTGTGAAAACCTGAGCAGGAAATTTTGTTTTTAAAACAATTTACACACATACACACACACACACGTGTGTATGTGTGTGCGCACCCACAGTTGGTTTTTTTTCATATACACACAGCAAGAATAAGAAGAATGAAGAAAACTGTAAAGCTCACAGATCAAGAGATCATTTAAAAGGGCTAGAACTTGGCTTCACACCCAAGAGATCACTTAAAAGGGCTAGAACTTGGCTTCACACCCAAGAGATCATTTAAAAGGGCCATAAATTAGAATACTAGTTGATGTCTAAGCCTCATGTTGGAGAAAGGAAAAATGTGATACCAATATGTGGGTTTTTTTTTTCATGTTTTGTAAAATGGCATAATATAATATTACTACATTGGTAATTATTATAGTCTAAATCTGTTGCTATAGTTAACAGAATTTTCAAGAAAAGGCAGCAGTGCTGGACCTCAGATGTCTGGACACAGTTTGTGTTTTAAATATACTCTGCCATGGTAAAAGAAGAAACTGAATGGCCGGCCCACAAGATCCTCTGACAAGACATATGAGGCGGCTACGCGGCCGTCAGTAGTAAGGCCTGCTCAGATCAAGAAGAGTGAAAGTCATTCCAAATAATCATGTTCTTTGAAATGTTTTGTGTTCCAACCATACTGAACTTCCTTCATTTCCTTGAATCATGTACTATTATATCTCACCTTCAGACTAATTCAAATATGCCTATTTTTTCCAATTCAGAAAAGTCATTTTCTCTCTCTTTAACTGACAAATTTCTGCTAACCTTCAGGTCTACTAATGTGTTACTTCCCCTAGAAATCCTTTCCAGAGGATTCATGTTATTAATTCCTCCTATGATATACTCCCAGAGTCCTCTTCATTGTCTCTTATCAGAGCCCTCACATTGTGGGCTTACATTATCTTACATTATGATTATCAACAATTTTTTCATATTTTCTGCTAAACATAAACTCAACCCGGAGTTCAAGACCAGCCTGGCCAACATGGTGAAACTCCATCTCCATTACAAATACAAGAAAAATAGCCGGGTATGGTGGCAGATGCCTGTAATCCCAGCTGCAAGGGAGGCTGAGGCACACGAATTGCTTGAACCCAAGACGTGGAGATTGTAGTGAGCCACGATCCCGCTACAGCACTCCAACTTGGGCAACAGAGTGAGACTACATCTCAAACAAAAAAAAAGCAACAACTAATTGGAAAATAAAGTTTGCAAATATCTTTACCTTTATAATTACATTAAAACATCAAATATCAAAAAATACATCTAAAATACACACACACACACACACACACACACACACACACGATTTCTTACAGAAAACTATAATACATTATTGAGATAATTAAATTAAGCAACATTTAGTTTTGGATAAGATTCATGGTTTGTTAATGGATTGAAAGACTCAACATTGTTATCATATTATCTCTCCTCTATAGAATCATTGCAGTCCCAACCAAAATCCCAGCAATTTTGTGGGCATGTGTGCGTGCATGTGTGCATGCATGCATGTGTGTGTGTAAATTGGCAAAATGAATCCAATTATACGGAAATGCAGAGAACTAAAAATAGACAGGATATTCTTAAAGAAGAAAAAATTTGAGGATTTACATTACCATATATAAAGACACACTTTTAAGCTACAGAAATTAGGATAGATTGGTCTTGGAGCAAACACAGACTATTTGACCAATACAACAGAAAAGAAATGAAGCCACACATATATGGTTGCCTGATTTATAGGAAATCACCATTGCCACTGAATGATGGTATTCACCATTGCCATTGAAAGAGAATATGATGGTTATTAGTAGACTAAATAAATAGCTTGTGATATAGTCAAATAATGAAAAACCACATAGAATGTAAAAGTGTGGAAGTCTGCTACTCACAGCAGCATGAATGAATCTCATAGATATAGTGTTGAATGCAGAAATCTACATGAAGGTCGAAAATAAGCACAACTTACCCATGATAATAGAGGTAAAATACTGGCTACCTTCCAGGCAAGTTATTGACTGGAAGGTAGATGAGCAAGTCTTCCTGGGTGCTTATAATCTGAGTGATGGCTTCAGGGGTGGAATATATATGTAAAAATCCACCATGTTTAACAATTAAGATTTATGCACTTCATGTATATTATACCTCAATTATTTTTTTTTTTAAAAAAGAGAGTCAAATAGAAATAAGAGCTTGCATAAGAAAACTGAGAAATAGGCCGGGCGCGATGGCTCCCACTTGTAACCCCAGCACTTTGGGAGGCTGAGGCAGGCAGATCACGAAGTCAGGAGTTCGAGACCAGCCTAGCCAACAAAGTGAAACCCTGTCTCTACTAAAAGTACAAACATTAGCTGGGCATGGTGGCACACACCTGTAATCCCAGCTATTCAGGAGGCTGTGGTAGGAGAACCGCTTAAACCCAGGGGGCGGAGGCTGTGGTGAGCTGAGATCATGCCACTGCACTCTAGACTGGGCAACAGAGCAAGACTCCATCCCAAAAAAAGAAAAAGAAAACTGAGAAGTAACCAAGAGCAAGGAAATAGAAGAAACAAAACCAGAAAAATCTGAGAAGAATTTAAGAAAAAAGTAATGAGCAGCAGAGTGGGGTAGAAGGAGTGTGGGGACTGAAGAGCTTACTGGATTTAGCCCCAAAGAAGCCAATTAATTAGACCTTTCTGTGAAGTGGAAGGGCCGAGTCCAGGGCAATGGTTCAAGTTATGAACGGAGGGAAATAAGGCATTACAAACAATTATAATAAGCTTTTTATTTAAGGAGGGCAAGAGAGAGGATGATATCTAGAAATGAATGCAGAGTAAGAAAATAGCATTTTATTTCAAGTAAATATGAGGCTATGGATTATTCCTTAAATATCCATTAAACCTATATCAACCTCATACAAACCTGAGTCTCAAATGCTGAATTCAGCAAGAAACTCTCTCTTCTATTTATTGACCAGAAGAGAACATGTATACTTCCACCGGAGTTTGGAAAATTACATACTAAAATTTGAATTACTTAACTCTTTACTAAAACTAACCACCCACAGAAGAATTTGTTTAAACATATCTAACTAAGGGAAAGTTTACAGAATTAATTACCCTAAAAATGCAAACCAAAATATAGCCCTGAACTCAGACATTCTTTTACTTTCATTCTTCTTTCCACCAAGCCATGTGAAGGGTGCAAACTACGCAGGCTGATGATTGCTAAGTGATAACGACAGTTTTTATTGTTCCATTATTATTGCAGATGTTTTGGTATTTTTTTCTTTCGATTTCCTCTTTTCTAGAAACTTAAAGCAATAAATTGAAAAGTTAAATTAGTTTTATGAAGTTCCGTAGCCTCTTTGCACCACATTAAGTTCACATGACTATAATAACAAACGGAGAAGCTGTCACAGTTTTACTTTACTAGCAACGCCCGCAGTGCTCACGTACGGAAACATGTCAGCCCCCCTCCCAGAAAGAATTCATAAACAGTGAATGACTTACTATAATGTGCTGATAAGGATCTATAAATGACATTTTGGTTTCAATTACAGGAAATCTTTTCACACTTCAAAGGTCTTCTTTGGCACTCTAGCGTCTGTAAAACCTACAAAATAAACAATCACTATTGTTAAGCTTCCTTTTGGATGCAGTTCTAAGATTGGAAGGATTATGAGTATGCGTCTTAGGAAGAAAAAGTCTACCCAAGGACACTAGATAGATTGAGTTCCTTAGGTGTATGAATGGGTATCACACATAACGTAGGGGAAGGGTAAACATATTTTGATGATACTGTTTAATTTCCATATTTACTTCTGCAAATTTACACTGTGAATAATTATTCGGAAACTACAAGGGCTTGTGTTGTTTTTCATTTGCCAAGTATTTTAGGAGAAATGTGTTGAAATTATGGAAAATTAAAATTTTTTTGTTCTATTTATAATTAAGCCACATGTCATGGTTTCCTCAGTGGTGTTGGCATTATACAAATTCACAATAAAAGGAAAGCTTTTTTTCACCTAGCTATTTGTTAGGAATTATAAAAGTACATTCATGTTGAATTTGAACTTTAGCAATGACATTTTTAAAGAAATGTTTGTTCATTTGAAGATGCCAGTTTACTTTAGAAGCAGTTAATTGAAAATATTTTAATGGAAAAATACTCTCTATGCTTTCCTTTTCTCTTCTACAATTATTCTTCATTATTTAAAATCAAACAAAAACTATTTAATGAATAAACATCTTTGCTATTCCATTATACCAAGTCCTTGAGACTTCATAAAACACCATACACTTATATTTCAGTATTCTATAAGTCACATCTAATTTGGAATATCTTCCCAAGTATCCTTATTATTTATCTTGAATATGTAGATTCTTAATGTACATTACAAAAACACTTTTTAATGTAAATTAAATATAACTTAATGTAAATTACAAAAATACTTTTTAAAAGTGTTTTTATTTCAGGATAAATCAAATTTGTTTTACATTTTTAATGATCTTTCTTTTTAAACATCAACTTTTAAAAAATTACAAAAATGATTCCTGCTCATTGTCACAAACACAAGCTGCAGAAGTGAACAAAGAATAAAATGTAATCACAATTTTCATTATGAAGTATATCTTTCCAGGCCATTTCACTGCTTTTTCATAATACTTAAAGTAATAGGAAAACAGAGGATTTGAAATTTTTTTTTTTACAAAAATGGGATTTTCTCATATGCCCTTAAGTTTTTAAACTCACTTTCTTCATCATATTTGGTTGTAAAAAATATGAAGCAATATTATGTGAATGATAAAAATCACCCATAGTTCTCTACTTAAGAATTATAAAAAATAAGGATGCCCCCTGTTCTTCATTCTGGTCCGTCAATCATTTTTATTTTTACCAACAAGAAAAAAAAAAAGTGAAATTTTAAAGTAAAACATCTATTGACTTTCATCACTTACTTCTTAAGCTCCGAAAGTACAAGTATTTTTATCTTATCATGAATATTCATCAGGCTGAAAATGTATACAGCATTTTAAATCAACTTTTTAAATAAAAATAAGGCCAAACTACCATTCTGATTTATCATAATAAATTACTATAATCTTGGTTTTGCATTTTATTTAAAACCTAATAGAAAATTTTGCTGATAACATTAACCAATTATCAACTGCTTCGACGGTATAGTTTGATTATTCCCTCCTCCAAAACTCATGTTGAAATTTAATTGTCAATGTAAGGTACAGGGAGGTAGGGCCTTTGAGAGGTGATTAGCTGACGAGAGTTTCACCCTCATGGGTGGGTTTAATGCCTTTTTAAAGCGGCTTGTGGAATGGGCTCTCTCTCTTAGCTCTTTTGCCTTCTGCCATTTTTGCCTTCCAGCCTTCCTCTTCTCTGGACAATGGCTATCTTGAAAGAAAAGAAGAGTCTCACCAGGAACCAAAACTGCTGGTACCTTGGCCTTAGGCTTCCCAACTTCCAAAACTGTAAGCCAATAAATTTATTTACTTTATTAATTACCCAGTGTGTCATATTCTGTTACACCACACAAAATAGACTAAGGCACTTGGTTTTCACATTTCCGTTATTTTGGTTGGATCTGGCTGCTATTGTCCATAACTTTCAGGATTTTATTCCAATATCATCTTTCCAGTGAAGTCTTCCATAACCATATTATTTAAAATTGGCAAAAACCATGTTTTTTTGCTTTATGGCCATCTGACATCTACTTATGTCGTTTTGTTGTGTTTATCCATCTCTTCTCCCTTCTTCATTAGAATATAGATTCCATGAAGGTAGATTTTTTAGTGTGTTTCATTCATTGTGAAATTCCCAGTCGCTATGTAGGCACATGCGGGTACTTAATACATACGTTAAACAATGAATGAATGATAGGATATATGTACACATGTAAGAAGAGTAATTTTCAAGCCCAGTTACACCAAAGCGTTCTGCTCAAGTCAAGGGAAGTTCACTTTCTATTTATCCAGAAGTTGTATTACCCTCATTCTCTATTCTACCACACCATCTTACACTGTTAATCAAAACCGATGAGTTTCTCTTTTATCTCTTATTATTTTTCCCTAATTATCTACTTATATACACATCATACAGACATGATTATTCATTTACCACTACAGTATACTGTGCCTTTGATTAGGCTCTAAGTTTTTTTGAAATTATATATTTAATTGATATTATAAAACAATGAAGACAAAACTACAATAATTTTTATGTTTAAATTTATAATACAAGAAATATATCTATATTGAGTGATATGATCCTTATGATTTAGCACTTCCCATTATCAGCATTTTCTGAGCTATTTCTATCACAACGTTTTAAAAGTGATCAGTAATGACTTAATCTACCAGTATGGCTGATGTTTTTATGCCAACTAAATTCAAAGTATGGCTGCATCCGTTTCAGAGTCAGAATGTAGCTAATACTCTAGCACTGTGGGTGGAATATATTTTTATGAATGATTTAAAAATCACCTGCCTCATTCTCATCTTAACCGTCCATATTTTCCTTATATCATTTCCCCTCAGAAGTGAAGTAATTTCTTAATATGAAGCCTTCTATGCATATGATAGTTCACATAAAGCTCCTCGGCCCAAGAGCAAGAGACCTTTGGATTACTGCAGTAGTAGTAATTCCTGAGAGGTATGTCTTCCCTTTCCAGAAGCTGAAATGTCTGTGTAGGATGATGCCAGGGCAGCATATATCAAGGATTCAAAGGCTGATGGAAAGCCAACTATTTTCTTTATTGAAGCAGCATAATTTAGTGAAAACACCATTGGATATGAGATCTAGAAAGACCTTAATTCAAGCTCCAGTTTCATATTCTAAGACCCAGGTTACTTGCTTATAAACGTGCATAACACTATTGTGAAAGGCACCTAGGCCATAATAAATATGCAATGCATATGATTCACTTTTAAGATAAAGATTAATAGACTGGGCTGGGCATGGTGGCTCATGTCTGTAATCCTAGCACTTTGGGAAGCCAAGGCCTCCCAAAAGTGATCACAAGGTCAAGAGATCGAGACCATCCTGGCCAACATGGTGAAGTGCCATCTCTATTAAAAATACAAAAATTAGCTGGGTGTGGTGGCATACGCCTGTAGTCCCAGCTACTCAGGAGGCTGAGGCATGAGAATTGTTTGAACTGGGAGGCGGAGGTTGTAGTGAGCC